CATATGATTTGTAGCCCTTGATGTTGTCTTTCATATGGACATTGAATCGTGTACATTGAATTCTCTAAAAAGAGATATGCTTGAACGATTGACAGAAGGTCATCATGATCGCCGATTTCAAGCTCCATTCATTTTCTTTTGATCCCGTAGCTAATCCTAGAGCTCTTTTCCCTTCAAATCTTCATCGTGAACCTCCCGGTGACCTCCAGAGCTCTCAATTAACTCTCGAATGCTTCTCGAATCATCCCGATTGCTCCTCAAGTGCTGTTGCCAGACTCTAAATTCCTGATTTTTTACTCCAAACAACACAAAACTTGAACCAACGTCCGGTAACTATGACTTGAGCTAAAAATGAGACTTGTGACCCAAAACAATTAGGGAAACCATCAAAAGTCGATCTAAACATGCATCAAATGCGTGTCTAAATACAGACTTATCAATGACACAGATTTAAAATCAAAACACTTCCAAGACAATGTTTGATCATACAATAGTATGTTTTTTTTCACATCAATGGGCAGAAGGGTGGATAAAACAATCAATAGAGGTGGGTCACCTCCAACTTTTAAACTCAATGGTCAAAACTATCATCGAATTGGGAGTTTGTTGCCTGAGGAAGGCAATACCCCAAAATTTGCCCAATTGTATATCTATGACACACAGGATGAAGATGTAAATCGTCTCACCTCAGTGGGGTAATACACTAATACAGTATAAATTTTTATCATTTTTATTATGTCATTATGTTATCATGCTAAACAATATAATTGCCCTTTTTCCCCAAATTAGGGATGATCGACGAAAGAACAATTTGTATAAAGATATTGTCTCTACACTCAGGTAGATGTTGGATCAACATAATGTTTTTGTGAAGTCTTTTAGGATGGTTAGAGATAGGATTGTTCAATGTGGACATTCGAATGTTAACTTCAATTTAATAGACCGGAGAACTAGAGATGCTAGAACATACAATTTTCCCGCAGTGTCTGAAGTGGCGGCTTTGATAGTTGGGGACTTTGATGAATCTTTGGGGTAGAGGGACATAATGGTGGAAACCAAAGGGAGTGTTTTGAAATGAATTAATGAGTTAAATCCTGCTTATTTGGGGCTACAGTATCCACTTCTATTTCCTTATGGTGAAGATGGGTATAGAGAGGATATAAGTTTTTCAGATTCTAATACTAATAGCACTAAAGGTCGCCGAAGTGTTAGCATACGTGAATTCCTTGCATACCAATTGCATGATCGTGGGAGTTAGAAATCCTTTATCCTCAAAGCTAGAAGATTATTTCAACAATTTGTGGTGGACACATACACAATGGTTGAATCATCAAGACTAACTTATATAAGATTGCATCAAAAGCAATTAAGATGTGAAATGTACAAAGGTCTTTCAGAGGCGTTATTGAGTGGCGAACGAGATGATTCTACCCAAGGGAAGAGAATAGTACTACCACCGACATTTGTTGGAGGAGCCAGATATATGGTTAAAAACTATCAAGACGCAATGGCTATATGTCAATGGGCTAGATATATATCCAGATCTTTTCTTGACTTTCACTTGCAATCTAAAATGGCCGGAAATTGTTAGGTTCCTTTCTGAAAGGAAAGGAACCTAACAAATTTGAATCCTGAAGATCAACCAGATATAATATGTCGAGTCTTCAAAATGAAGTTAGATGGATTGATCAAAGATCTCCGACAAAATAAGATCTTTAGTGATGTTCGAGCAGGTTTGCAATATCTCTATCCCAAATGGTTTAATGGTTTAATAAACTAATTGTTCATGTTATATAATAATTTATAATTCATTACAATGTCTGCTATTGTTTCATGCAGTAGTTTACACTATTGAGTTTCAGAAGCGTGGCCTCCCACATGCCCATATATTGTTGTTCATGGGAAATGCGGACAAATTTTCTACTCCGGCAGATAGAGATCACATTATTTTAGCTGAAATACATGACGAGTCAAGTGATCCTGATTATTTTCATGTTGTGCGAATGCATATGATGCATGGACTATGTGGCCCGGATGCAAAAAACGCTCCGTGCATGGTTCAGTTTAAATGTTCTAAGCACTTTCCAAATAATTTCAATGTACAAACTAACATTGGCGAAGAAGGTTATCCTAAGTACATGAGGTGGGATGATGGGAAAACGATTGTGAAGAACCGTGTTGCACTTGACAACAGATATGTTGTTCCTCACAATAGGTACTTGTTGATGAAATATGGGGCTCACCTTAATGTGGAGTGGTGTAACCAATCAAGGTGTATCAAGTATCTTTTCAAATATTTGAATAAAGGTCATTATCGATACATTTTTATACATCACTATACCAAATTACTACTAATCGCGTCACAGTTGCATTTTATGAGACCACGAATAAGGATGATTCAGAAAAGCCCGTGGATGAAATAAAGTTGTACTATGATTGCCGATACATTTCGCCATGTGAGGCGATGTGGCAAATATTAGGGTTTGAGATACAATACAAGAATCCATCGGTTGAGCATTTGAGTTTTCATTTCCCTATTGAGCAGTATGTATATTTTGAAGACGATGCTGCAATGACCGATGTTGTACAACGTGAATCTGTTAAACAAAGCATGTTTCTAGCATGGATGAGGGCCAATGAATTGTATGCGGAAGCTAAAAAATTAACTTATGCTGAATTTCCTGAGAAGTTTGTTTGGAAGCCAGCAATAAGGGAATTTGTTCCTCGGAAAAGGGGCTTTGCTTTGGGTCGAGTCGCATAAGTACCTCCAGGGTCAGGAGAATCTTATTATTTGCGATGTATCCTAAATTTAAAGCGCAGTTCTTTGTCTTTCGCCGATTTACGCATTGTTGATGGGGTTTCTTATGAATCATATCGTGACACATGTTACGCATTGGGTTTGTTGGACGATGATCGAGAGTACGTTGAAGGTTTTACGGAAAGTAGTTTTTGGGCTTCTGTATTGGGACTGAGAGTTCGATCTATTCGTTATATTGTTACTAGCAGATACAATGAGTAGACCTGAATACGTTTGGGAGAAATGTTGGGAATTTATGTCTGATGACATTCTTCACAGACAACGACGAGCATTGCTAGATCCAGGTTATAAATAAATTACAATTTATTTATTTTTAACTACATTATTGTTTATAATTTGCTAAATAAACTATTGTACAATTAAATGTTATATTCTTTATTGTAGAATTAATGTTAACGGAAGACGAAATCAAGAATTATGCAATGCTTGAATAGAGACAATGTTAAGGATTCGGGGAAGAAGCCTAAGGGACTATCCATCAATGTCATTCCCTAATTGTAGTAACGCAACCATGTTTCAAAACAGGTTTATTTATGACGAGTTGCAATATGATCATGCTGAAATGTGCGAACAACATGAAAAATGCATGGAGAGTTTGAATGAGCAACAAAGTAAAGTGTACAAGACTACTATGGAATCCATTGAAGAGAACAGGGGTGGACTGTTCTTTGTATATGGGTACGGGGGTACATGCAAAACGTTTATTTGGAAAACGTTGTCGGCAGCTTTGAGATCAAAGGGTGAAATTGTTTTAAATGTGGCTTCAAGTGGGATTGCTTCATTATTATTACCTGGTGGAAGAACTGCTCATTCACGCTTTGCAATACCAATCAACCCAACCGAGCACTCAACATGCAACATCAAACAAAGCAGTCCATTAGCCCAATTGATAATTAATTAGGTCTAAACTTATAATTTGGGATGAGGCGCCAATGATACATAAATATTGTTTTGAAGCCTTGGACAGAAGATTTGGTGACATTCTTAGGGTTGTTGATCATCTAAACAATGATAATCCATTTGGAGGGATAACTATAGTTTTGGGAGGAGACTTCAGACAAATCTTAGTATCTTACCGGTCATTACCATGCTTGTCACGGCGTCGACTAGGCGTCGCCTAGGCGCCAACTAGGCATCGCAGCGATGAAGAGGCATCGACTTAGGAGATCGACTCGCCTGAAGATGACCAGTCGCGTATGGTGTCGCCAAGGCATCGTCCTGGCGTGAACTTCTCGACTTGTGGCCGCCTATTTTAGCCCAGTCGAAAGTCGTCCGCAGGCCCAAAAACATATTAAGGTTTAATTTTTTTTAGGAAACACATTTAATTAAGGTTTTAACTTAAGGCGGTGGCCTTCTAATTAAATACATAGCCCGAAGCCATCGATTAACTCACAAGTCACAGAAGCAACGATTGACTTCAGAGGGAAGAATCAGTCGCCGGTCAAGCCATAGCCATAGCCACCTCCCTGTCCGTCGTTGAAGGTTGAAGCATACGACCACCAGTCCAGTTGAGTAATGATTTCTTATCTAATCATATTTATGATGAGCAATTTTTATCTATAAAAAAATTGTATGAAGCAGATAACTTCTGTACCGATAAGGTACAGAGTACAGACTGTCTTTGCCTCATACTCGTAATAATAACATACTCGTTTTAAAAAACATTTTAATCTGTCAAATATTTTTCTATGTGATCGTTTTTCATCCACTTGGGAGTTGGAAACAAAAATAAAATTTTAGAACCGCATATTTACTCCCTCATTCTTTGTAATAAAAACTGCAATTTGATTGTGAATTTGCGGTTCTTTATTCTATAAAACAATAATTTATTCTACTTCTGATATACTGAAATTCACCAGTGATAAAACAATATGCTCGTATATTAGTTTAATAATAAACTCTTAAACCATTAATTTATTATATGTAAATATGTAATATACATATAATAGATATACTGAGCTCGTATTTGTTTAATAATAAACTAAGAAATATTTAAACCATTAATTAATTATATGTTATAAAATAATAAACTATTAAACTATTACAAAAAATATTTTATATATAATTAGTTAATTACGTATACATATAGTTCAACCTTTTGTTTGTATTAGTTTTTATTTGTTAGTTGGATAGTTAAATTTTCATTATTTTATTTTAAACCTTTTTTTTACACAATAGTTATGGCGGACAATGAAGGTGACACCGTGTATGATCCAGCTAAAGATCCGCTTAGAAGAGAAAAATCTAATGATCCAGGATGGAATCATGGATTTTGGCCAGACTTGAACAACAAAGACATAGTCCAATGTAGGCATTGTAATAAGCAAATGTCTTCTGGCATAAAGAGATTAAAACAACATCTAGCTGGCGGGTATGGAGATGTTGCTAAATGTCCTCATACGACAACAGAACTTATGACGGAGATGCGAGCATATTTAATGAGGAAATCCAGGAGTAAACCGATCCAAATTGAAGATGACGGCGATGAGGATGATGTTGAAGTACCTTTCCCTCAAATAGATACTTCAACTTCTCAACCGAGTTCTGGGACAGCAACCAAGAGAAAAAATGCTGCTTCGCAATTCTTTAATGTCCCACCAAAAATGCCCAAACAAAACAAATCAATTGCCTCCATCATTCGCAAAACTCCCGAGGAGATCGTTGATGAAAGACATACAAAAGGCCCCACCCAAACTACACTAGAACAATGCACAAAAAGCAAGGAGGACAAAGAGAGGGTCTTCATGCACATTTCTGATTTTTTTATGAAAACGGCATTCTCTATAATGCAGCAAACTCCAGAAGTTATGAGATCATGGTGGAGTCGATTGGGCAGTTTGGACCAGGACTTAAACCTCCTAGCTATCATGAGTTGCGTGTTCCACTTCTTGAAAAAGCAAAGAACAATACAGAGAAGCTCAGAGAAAAACATGAACTTGCTTGGAAGGAATACGGGTGCACACTCATGTCTGATGGATGGTCTGACCGAAGGAATCAACACTTGATTAATTTCCTTGTCAATAGTCCAGAAGGCACTTTTTCCTAGACTCGGTTGATGCATCAGGTGAATCTCAAGATGCAACATTGCTGACAGGTTTGCTTGAGAAAAGAATTGAAGAAGTTGGAAAAGACAAGGTAGTGCAAGTGGTGACAGACAACAACTCTAACTATAAGGCTGCGGGAAAACTTCTAGAGCTCAAGATACCCACGCTTTATTGGACTCCATGCGCAGCACATTGTTTGGATTTGATGTTGGAGGATATCGGTAAATTAGCCGAGTTCAAGCCCCACATTGAAAAAGCAAGATGTGTGACTACTTTCATTTATCGGCACACGAGAATCCTCCATTCAGTGAGACAAAAGACGGGTGGGAAGGATCTTGTAAGACCTTGAGTTACTAGATGTGCAACAGCGTTTCTCACTTTGCAATCTCTATATAAACACATAGAAGCATTGAGAAATCAATTTAGCAGTCTGGATCGGGGTAGATCTAAATTGGCTGCCACAGAAGCAGGAAAGAGGGTTAGTGAGATTGTGTTGTCTACTAGATTCTAGAGTGCATTGGAAGACTGCATACGAGCTTCACAGCCGCTTTTAGTTGTCTTGAGGATAGTTGATGTTGATGAGCAACCGACTATGCCAGAGCTTTCACTAGCCATGGATTGTGCCAAAAAAAATCAGCGAGTCATTTGAAAATAAGGCTAAAGTTTTGAGAAGCCTAGTTGGGATCACTGAGACATGATGGGAAGTCCAGATGGAGGTCAAATTAAACGGGGCAGCTTTGTTTTTAAATCCGTCTAAATATTTTGATCTCAAACAGACTGATCCCACATCAGAATCAAAGCAACGATCAATGTTTAACGATGTGCTTGAAAAGATGGTCACTGATGAAACATTGCAGGCCAAGATAAATGATCAAGCGACAGATTGTGATAAATTGAGAGGAAGTTTTGCAAAGCAACTCGCGATTAAGCAACAAAAATCTAAGAGTCCTCGTAAGTGATACTTTTTATATATCTGAAAATTAGTTTAAACTTTAAACATATTAAAAATTAATTAATATTTTTTTGTGATTAATTTATAGTTGATTGGTTGGATGCTTTTGGTGGACTCGATGTTGAGCTGCAATCGTTCGCAAAAAGCATAGTTGATCTCTATTGTACCTCTTCTGGCTGTGAGCGTAATTGGAGCACTTTTGAGTTTGTAAGTAATAGACTTACCATTTTGAATACTAACTACAATTTTTAAATTACACAAGATTTGAACTAATTAAATCAAAACACTTATCAAATATGTTTTTAATCTTTATTTTAGATTCATACAAAAAGAAGAAACAAGTTGGAGCATAAGAGGTTGAATGACTTGGTTTATTCAATATAATCGGAAGATAGCGACCAGATTTCAGAAGCGGCGTGAAGAAGGAACAAACTTCAACCCTTTAATATATGAAGATTTCCAATGGAACAATGAATGGGTCAGCAATGACGTTGTTCATCCCGGTGATGATCTTCTTTGGAGTCAAGTTGATGAACTTGTGGTGCATCAAGCAATCTTCAGGGTCGTAATCTTCCTAGGACTAGTAGCTCTCGTGGAGAATCGGTTTATTCTCGACGCCGTGGTTCAAATTCTTCATTAAGGTTGATTGATGAAGACATGAACAACGAGGAAGAAAGTTTTCCAAATGATGATGAAGATGTTGAAGATGACTACGGCCAAACACCACCAACTCCTACTCATGATGATGATGATCAGGGCAATGAAGGTTGTAGAGATGATTTAGTCCTTGATGATTCTTGATAAATTAGTAGTTTGATCTTTACACTGCCTATTTGAGATATACATTTTTAATCTTAATTCCCATTAATAAACCTTGTTTTTAATTATTAATTGTGGATTTCAATTCTAAGTTATATGCATTTTAGTTAGTAATATATTATACATAATATACAATTAAATATATAATTATATATGTAAATATATAATTATATATATAATATATAATTATATATACATATAGGCGACTAGTCGCCTAATTGTCGCCTAGGCGGGCGCCTTATCGCCTAGGCGATATGGCGGTCAGCTGGAACCACGACTCGACTTACCGCCGTGACAAGCATGGTCATTACCAAAGGTACAAGACAAGACATAGTTAATGCCACAATTAATTCTTCATACATATGGCAAGACTGCATTGTTTTACGCTTAACCAAGAACATGAGACTGCAAATCTTTGAGTAATCTTTGAGTAACGATCGTGATTATGCTAACTTGGTTGAGTTTGCTAAGTGGATAACGAGTTTGGGAGATGGAACGACTGGTGGTGAGAATGATGGTTGTGTTGATATAAAAATACCAAGTGACATTTTGCTTCAAAGTGGTGAAGACCTAATTGCAACAATTGTACGCAGTATGTATCCTGATTTTGAACATATGTCGACTAACTCATCATTCCTAAAAGAACGTGTTATTTTGGCCCCAACACTTGATGCCGTTGACTCAATTAATGAGTACATGACTGCATTGAACGTGACATAGGAGGCTAGGACCTATTTGAGTTCTAATAGCATTTGCAAATCAGACTCAAATTCATATTTCTTGGTTGATTTGCATACACCAGAATTCTTGAATAAGATACGTGCATCTGGTGTTCCAAATCACGAGTTGACTCTAAAGGTTGGTACTCCAGTTATGCTTCTAAGGAACATTGATCATTCTAGGGGTTTATGCAACGGCATGAGGTTGATTATTACAAGGCTTGGAAATCATGTTCTTGGAGCAACAATTTTAGGAGGGAAATTTGATGGACAAGAAGTGGTCATACCTAGATTGACACTAACACCTTCAGATGCAAGAATACCATTCAAGTTCCAAAGAAGGCAATTCCCAATCATGCCCACTTATGCGATGACTATAAACAAAAGTCAGGGTCAATCTTTGTCACATGTTGGACTTTTACTAAAAAAAACAGTCTTCACTCACGGTCACTTTTACGTTGCAGTGTCAAGAGTTACCAATCGTAAAGGGTTGAAGATATTGATCTGTGATGAGAATGACCAACAAATCGATCATACTACTAATGTTGTTTACAAAGAAGTCTTTCAGATTTTGTAATTTCATTATGTGCACTATTTGTTTTTCTTACCACTTTGTACTTTCATATGTTATATCTATCTTAACTACGAACCCTTATTATATTACTTACCACTTTATTATGAGTTCAATTATTTTTGCATTTTTATAATACACTTCTTAAACACACATTGTTAAAATTTCATCTGCGCATCGTGCTGGTGAGAATCTAGTACAGTAATAAATGGGGTTATGGGGATTATGTCAATGCATTACCAACCAATTTTGCATTCAAGTAAATCAAAGGATATAATTTAAGTCACAAGCTTTAAGAATACAAATGTACAGTTAACAGTAAAAACTAAGAAACTAATAAGATTGTAATCCAAAACAATTTAACACTAAAAAAAAGCATCCTAAGAAACTAATCAGATAGTAATCCAAAACTATTTGACTGATACTAGATATGTTTTCCTACCTCGAAAGATGAGGATTCTTCAAAGTGGACTAAGGATGATTTTACTTGGACTGTAATTCGTCCCAGACCAGACCAATTCAAACCAGACCAGACCAAACTTGGATAGTTATAAAAATACAAAGAAACTAGACCAGACCAGACTAGTACAGACCAGACCAGTAAATTACAGTACAAGTAAAAACATCCTAAATTCGAATTTAGCACGAACAAGACACCAACTCCTCAAAGCAATCTGCAACTCCTCAAAGCAATCTGCACTGCTCATTATAAGTATATACTACACGTATATGCTTGTTCATTTTGAAAGGTCAAAAGAATAATTAAAAAGTAGTGTCTAGCAAAATGAGTAAATTATAAAAATGAATAAGAGCCCCTTAGTAACACTTAAATTGGTTGAATCGGCTGATTCTGCTGAAATTTATAAAGCTCAGTCTGAAGTGTCTGGATTGACTGATTCTGCTGATTTATAAAAAAAAAATTATTTTTAAAATATTTTAGATTAATAAAATAAAGAAAGCATTATATGAAAAAATAGCTAAAATGATTCTTCATAGTAACTTCAGCCAATACATCCAGAAAAGCAACTTCAATCTTACTTTTTCTTACTATTACACAATTCAGCGCGCTAAATTAAAAGTTACGTGTTTGGTGAAAAAGTTGACTGATAAGCTGAAAAACAGGGTCACCAAATGGGCACAAAATAACTTTAAGCTATTAAAATTATGCTTAGTACTAGGGGTGAGAAATTCAATTTACGATTTGGGTTTCTTAGATTTGGGTTCGGTTTTGATTTATTCGGTTTGGGAGAATTTGTACCAATTAAACTAAAACCACTTGTATTTTGGTTTGGTTTTGGTTCGGTTTCAATTCGGTTTTGATTGAAATACAGTTTACCAGTGAAAATTATTAGGTTGAATTTAATTTGATTTGATTTGGTTTCTTATGTATATTATTTTATTTGATCAAGATCTATATTTTAAAATTAGAAAATGAAAGTAGTAGACTAGTAGGGCATCACATCTTCTTTTATTTACGAAGTATTATTTAAATAAAATGTAAAAGGAACTAAAAGATAGAAAAAGAAATAATAAAATGTTATAAGCTATAATTTCTAACATATTTTCGATCATCAGAAAAAAGATTCACTTCACACAAAAAATAAATTTATAGTTGATTAACATTTATAATATCACATAAACTATTCAAAGAAAACTAAATGAGTCAGTGCTATACTTGTACAAATATTGTAATATTCACAACTTTATTTAAATGAATCATGTAAAAAAATAAATGCAATTTGCTATTGTTATCGTCTAACATATTTTCATACATGTAGCATACCAAACATATCACATACAAATATGTTGTATTAGCTAACTTTATCATAATGGATATATGAAATGTGTAAAAGTTAAAATGATCTGTGTTAAATTTGTATTTTTCATGTCTAAATTATTTATTTATTACGGAGTATATCCTAAAGATGAAGAGTGAAGAAAAATATAAAGTATTTATATATATTACAAGTTGTTCGGTATTCCATTCAGTTTACGGTTTTTTGGTTTTAAACCAAACCAAATCATTCAATTTGAGCAAATGGCTACCAAACGGTTTATTTAGGTAAACCAAAATCAAACCAAACCATCTTGCCTAGCCTTACTTAGTAGGGATATTGTGGTGACCATAAGAATACATTCATAATAACTTAGCAGAAATATACGATACTTCAACAAAAAAGAGCAAACGCAGGAAATTAATGAAAATGTAGACACATTCATTTCCTCATGTACAATTTCCAATTTGCAATAGAGAAAGGTAAGATGCGAAACAGAAACTTCCCGTACAACATAATACCCATCGATTTAGTGTCTGCAAATACCAGAGAAGGGACAGGGGAACGAAACATCGATCGATCAACTAACCGACTTTGGACGATCAGACGCTTTTGATCGCAGAAGAGTCGGGAGCAGAGTACGGTCCGGGCGGGATCGGGTTCGGATTGAGAGGGGCACGGACGTCGTCGTCGTCCGGGTCGTAGTCCGGATTGAGGTCGCGATCTAGGGCTTCGCGGCCTTTGTCGAGGCAAGGCTTGCAGGCGATCTCGATGGTGATCCAGCCTAGTGCTATGCCAGCAATTGCTATCAACGATGCTGTCAGCGCCCCCATTTTCTCCTCCTCCTCTCTTTGTCTCTGTTTTTAAGTTGGAAGAAATTAGGATGAGGGAAAATGAGTAACAAGGGGAGGGTTGAAGTTATTGTGTTTGTTTTGTGAGCTAGGTAGGGCTGGCGCTGAGATTGGGTGTTTAGAATATGGTTAGAGACCATTTATGGACAGGCAGACAAGGAAGGACGAAGCCGTGAAGGTGTAGTGGTATAAATGAGGAAAGTCGTTCGCGAGCAGCATGTGATCTTTCGGACAAAACTCGACTCAGATTCGGTCATATTCAAGTTCGACTCGAGTTCAGTTCGACTCAAATAAGCTCAATTCAGGCCTTTATATTTTGGTTTCATGGTTCACATACATAGATTGCCAAATATTTGGAACATTTAGAGGCCGTTTGTCAATCTTGTTTTTCGACTTATCAGGCTTATCTGTCAACTTTTTCACCATAATTTTTGTTTTCGCGCGCTGAATTGTATAATAAGCAGAAAAAGTAAGGTTGAAGTTACTTTTCTGGTTGTATTAGCTGAAGTTACTCTAGATGACCATTTTAGTTATTTTTACATATAATTTTTTCTTTATTTTATTAATACAATATATTTTAAAATTATTTTTTTCTTAAATCAGCAGAATCAGCCAATGCAGTCACTTCAGTCAGAACTTCATAAATTTCAGCCAAATCAACCGATTTTCGTGCTACCAAACGGGCTCTTATTCTAATTTAAGATTATTCTATTTTCTTATAAAGTTCCCCATTTCCTTTTTGGGTAGTTCCCAAATTAAGTTCCTCTTTCTTTATTTGGCAAATTAACTACATCAAAACAGTGTCAAACAGTGTAAAACAGTGTCCAAACAGTGCCCAACAGTAAAGTTTACTCTCAGTAATTTTTTTTTCTGATAACTGTGAACTTGACAATCATGCTATGCCGTTTTTCAATTGACAATTATGCCTAAACAAGTGTAATATGATGATTTTATTAGCTTTGTCAGTTTGTCACATCAATCTTTATGTTATTATAATTCAAATATTTCTGCACCTGACCTTGAATTAACTCTAAAATGTTTCACAAGTTTTATTATCATGTTGTTATCGTGGGTGAAATTACTATCTATTGTTAGTGTTTTCTTTGGTTAAAGTTAACTTATTTTGTCATTAAATGTCACTGATTATGTTGTTTTTGTTATTGTTATCGATGTCATTATGATTATTCTTTTTACTAGTACTACCATTGTTACTATTATTTTTTTATAATGGTTCCTTAATTGTTACAGAGACATATTTTTAATAGGAATAAAAAATCAAATCGTTAACCATGAATAGAAACTAATCTCTCAACAGTAATAGTCATGTGCAAGAAGTATTAACATTATGTGTAGGAACATTTATTGAGCTCTTTATATGATCACTTGTCATTAATAATCTAAAAAGTGTCGTATAGAACCCAAATTATAAAATGCTACTGAACTTTAGTCAGTTTTTTCGAAATATTTTAAAGACCAGTTTTCTTTTACTATAGAAACTCTAGGTATAATATTTTGGTCATTTGACTCATTTCAATTTTCACTCCTCTTTGAGTGCAAGAAAACCCAAGCACATATAAATAGATGATGCTTTGATTGGAATGGCTTTATCTGCTTTTTCTGATCGGAAAAACATCTGATAATATCCTTTTAATACAAGTCAGAAGCTACTTACTCAGTTGTTAAGCTTAAGAAGCTAAATTAGCCAGAACCAAAGGGACCTAACCAAAGAGAACCTGTGCACTTGATGGTGATAATTCAGATAGGCTGTCGGGTGCTTTATCCACAACTTGCCACTGCACACTGAAGCAAAACTCTTTACCACAATCCTTAAGTCGCTTCATAATAAGTCCGACGGCAACCTTAAGGTTCTGACCTACAACGATTATCCTATTGTCGTAACAACTGACACAGAAGGGTTTGTATATCTGCTCTGGCAATGCAAGCCCATCGACCCTGTCCCAAGTATCCGTCTCAAAGTAGTATACCTTAACTTTTGCTTTTTCATGTTCCGTAACAACAAACAGGTGACCTTCGATCACAACACTCGAACCGGTCCAACCTTCTCTAAGTCCAGAAGGTATACTCTCCCAAGTATCGGTTTTCGGGTCATATGCTTGTCCCATAGGAACAACATAAAAAGGCCAAAACCAGCCTTCAGTTATGAAAAGCTTCCCGTTCATAACAGCCGAATCGTACGAGGAAAGATACATTCCGATGCTTGAAACGGGTTTCCATGTCCCATTATTAGGGTTTAGGACTTCAGCTGAGTTGAGCTCGAATAGCTCCGCTCCATTTCCGCCAGCGACATAAATCATCCCATTGATAAGTCCGATCCCAAAAAAGGACCGTGGAGTGATCATACTTTTCATGACAGTCCAACGGTTAGTCTGGAGCTCATATCGGAGTACTAAATTAAGCGGATGATCTGTATCGGAGACTAACCCACCACAAACAAACATTACACCCTCATGGGGAAGGGAGACACAACGGAAGCCATGTGCGGCAGCGTTTTCTTTGCATGGCATAGACGGGATTGTATGCCAAGAAAAGTTGGTTAGGTCAAGCACCTTCCATTGGATTTTCCCAGTGTGTTTGTGAAAGGCCATAACGAAAAGCCACGGGTCGTGAAAGGAGAGTTCTTTTCTCCTAGAGAAGAACCTGTCCTTGTGTCCGAAGAGCAAATACCACCGCTTACTCACGGCCCTACAGGAAAGATGGTTGTCAACTGGGACCCGGAGGAGGCAATTGAGAGCCAAGTCATCTGGGAGTCCGGGAATCAGGGCTTCTCCGTTCATAGCCAATTCATTGTCCCTAGAAGAACCATCTAGCAGAGAGGATCCTAGTTTGGCTATCCTGAATTTGGGGGACAATGTCATATTGGAATCCCCCAATTTATGCACTGGAGATTGTTCAGACGACACTCTTACCCTTTGCATCTTTAGCCTTCACACCGACAGAAATGCTTCTTTAAAATATTCCATTTCCTTTCTCGAGTTACTCTGCATAAATTGAATGTAAACAGACTTTAGTTTTCCGACTTTATCATCATAAAGACATATCACCAATTCACCATTCAAATTAAGATAACAGATATCAAATCCCATCAACTCCAGAATAAATAAATACATTCCACTCTAGTATATGTACAGAAGATATTCATACATAAGAGGTATCACTGTCTATGGGTTATAGTGTTATACACATATTTAGTTCTAAATAAGAAAGGGTATTTCTCCATTAAGTAAGTTTAGACACCAGGAGTCTAATTCAAGACTCACGTTGGGCATCAATTATGCAATTAGGAATCAACTCATTTCTTGACATACAAATATACCCTTCTTAATCAGAGAAGAATATGACTGCTGACTAAAAAAGGGATTTCCGGATTGATCATGTTTCTGGATTATACACATTTAGTTCTAAATAAGAAACGGTATTTCTCCATCAAGTAAATTTAGGCACCACTAGCCCATTTCAAGACTCAAGTTGGGCATCAATTATGCAATTAGGAATCAACTTGTTTCTTGACATACAAAAATACTTTTCTTGATTAGAGAAGAATATGACTGCTGACTAAAGGGATTGCGGGATTGATCATGTTTCTGATTCATTTTTTAAAGCTAAACCAGAACTAGTTTTCCAGAAATTGGAGAAAGAAACGATGTGAAGGTATTTATGAAGTGAAAAACTTATAATAAATCGTTTCCCTACAACCTCTAACTTCTTCAGAACTAACTTATTAACCTTCTTCCGAATTAACTTATGAATCCTAGAGAGGTGCTTCCAAATTTATATCCTGCTTCTATATGCTCCTTGAAGTAGCATAGTTAGTGTTAAAAAATCAGTTGAGCAGCCCTAAATTGAGACAAAATGGCATACAAGTCAAGAACCAAATTGGGTCTAGAACAAATTGAGAAAATACTGTATAATTAAAGGACCCAATGGGTATTAACCAACTCTATCTGGTTCCATGAAATTGGAAACATATATTAACTCATTCATTATTTCAACCATACCAAAGAGGAAGTTAGAAACAACTTCAGGGGCTTATTTTGTCCACACCTTCAAGAAAACCAAAGCCCCCAACTTCAAGAACTGAATAAATATCATGAAGTTAAAATGGAATTGAAATTACAGAAAAGCAAAGCAATAGAGGTGGAAACCTGGATGAATGGGCATGAAGGAAACACTTCAGTTCAGTTGAGCTGTTGTTCTCATAAGAGGGGAAGGATCTGTTATTTTTGTTTTTATCACAAAAACTTTGCTGCGGCAGACGTTATTTGTGTATTAAAACGCGGATTCAGCTCGACCATGTGGGAGCGTCCCATGGACACTCGGCCTTCGTACGAAACGCAACTACGCAACCAGCCATGTGCCCACTATCCGACCATGGGAAAAAATACTCCAGATACTGGTCGATAATATTTTAGATACGAGTATTAATTTTTGGAAGTCTTAGCTAGATCTCTTTTTGTTTTTTATCTTCTTTAAAAAAAGAGAAAAATGTCAAATCATTACATCAAGTTGTAGGATGTGGAATAAAGAGTACCTCATATTATAACTCATATTATAACTGAAATCAAGTTTTTCGGTGTTAAATGAGGATACTCCCCCTATTTAGACGTTAATTGTCTGACTTGGCAAACGGAATACTGAAATGTCCAAGTTTAGTCCACATCACCTGTTAAGTGCTTGCTGATTACACGTTTGAATCTCTTTCAAACCCTAATCTATTCGTACGAAGACTCAAAAGCCAAACACGATGAAGTTCTAAGCCTAAAGAGAAGGAGTAACTAAGGTCTTGAAGTGGTAATCCGAAGATGGAGACTAAAAAATCTGATGAAAGGTACGTTATCACTGACATTACTCTTGCTTTACATCATCGATGCATCACAGACCATGTCTAATTAGGAAGTAATGGCCGAAGGTAGCAAAAACATAACCACATACCATATAGGTTTGAACCCTGTTTAGAACGAAGCTTTGAACCCCGTTTATAGGTTTTGCTATAAGGTATCCTGTTAATAGAGAAGTATGGAAATGTTTTCTGTATTTCAAATAAACAAAGAATGCTGAATATATACAGGAATATAATAGCTAATCAAGGAAAGTGTATATTATATACTTAATGACTAGAATTTACATTAATTATGCATATATACTGCTGTAACAGATCTCTAACATATCTACTTTGATTGACCATATATACAACTGCAATATCTTTAACACTCCTCCTCAAGTTGGAGCGAAGATATTAATCATGCCCAACTTGCTACAAATAAAATCTATATGTGGTTTACGGAGTGGCTTCGTAAAAATGTCTGCGAGTTTATGTTCAGTCCTGACATGCACCGGTATGATCGATGGAGGGTTTGATTGTGTGCCAACCACATGATCTCTGATTAAGTGGCAATCAAATTCAATGTGTTTTGTCCTCTCATGAAACACTTGATTCTTGGCTATAAGAATAGTGGACTGGTTATCACAATAAAGCCTCATCAAATTATTAGAATACACTCCAAACTCTTTGAGTAATCTTTTAACCCATATCATTTCACATGAAACATCTGCCGTGGCTCTATATTCTGACTCTGCATTTGATCGAGAGACAATGTGTTGTTTCTTGCTTTTCCAGGACACTAAATTTCGACCAACAAAGACACAATATCCAATAGTTGACCTTCTGGAAATAGGACAGCCAGCCCAATTTGCATCCGAAAAACCCGATATCCTGCCATCTCCTTCTTCTGTAAATGCACCTACTTGACAATGACCCTGATCAGAATAGAGTATTCCTAAGCCCGGTGTGGCTTTGAGATACCTCAAAACACAAAGAGCTGCATCCCAGTGGCCTGTGTATGGATCAGACGTGAACTGTCTCAAGACACTTACCGGAAATGATATTTCAGGCCGGGTAACTGTTAGATTAATTCAGTTTCCCGACTAGTCTCCTGTAACGCTTTGGATCCTTCATAGGACTTCCATCCTTTTCAAGCCACATTCAGTCAACATATCAATGACATACTTCCGTTGAGATAAAAGAATTCCACGTGGAGATGAGGAGACTTCTATCTTAAGAAAGTAACGAAGGTGTCCCAAGTCTGTGACCTGAAACTGTGATTGTAGAAACTCTTTCAATTCTGGAATTCTGCTGGTATCGTTTCGAGTGATGATAATATCATCCACATAAACTACAAGAATGAGTCGTCGACCCATATGATGTCTAAAGAACACAGAATGATCCTGAGAGCTTCTAGTCATGCCAAACTGTTGAAGGATATCTGAAAAACATCCAAACCATGCTCTAGGAGATTGTTTGAGTCCGTATAAAGAACGTCTCAGTCGACATACATTAGATGCCTCCTCCTTAACTATAAATCCACGGGGCTGCTCCATATATACCCCCTCCTCAAGAAAGCCATTAGGGAAGGCATTCTTGATATCCAACTGATGAAGCGGTCAATGATTGATTGCAGTGAGAGCAATACAAATATGAACAGATGGCATCTTGGCTACGGGAGAAAAAGTTTCATCATAGTTAATCCCATATGCTTGAGAGTAACCTTTCGCGACTAATCGGGCTTTCAATCGATGCAGTGAGGCGTCAGGATGAAGTTTAACTGTATAAACCCATTTACAACCAACTGTGCGCTTTCTAGGAGTAAGCTGAACCAAATCATAAGTCTGGTTTTCCTGGAGAGCATCCATCTCTTCCTGCATTGCTTTAAACCATCTAGGATGATTCAAGGCCTCAGTTACATTCCTGGGAACAGGGTGATTATCAATGGCTATTTGGTAAGCATATGCTTCAGGTGAAAGGTGAGAGTAAGCAAGGTAATTTTGAATAGGATATCTGGTACAGCTCCTGGTACTCTTTAAGAAGGCAATTGGAAGGTCAGAAAGAGGTGCTCCAGGTGGGTCACAAGGTTCGAAAGGGAGAGGTTCGAATAGACATTGTGGTTTTGGATTAGGATGAGGTTCTAGAACAGGATGAGGTTCTGGAACAGGAGAGTTTCTAGTTTCATGGCACAGGATTGAGTTCTCTTGGTTCTGTGTTGCTTTCCTTCGCTGCCTAGTGTACACCTTTGTGAATCGATTATCCGTATCTAATGGTAAAGTGGGAGACGAGTTGTGTGATGTTTGTATATGGGTGATATAGACCAGAGGATCTACAGTTTCGGAATGATCTGGGAATATATATGATGACTCGAAAGAGTTAGTGGTGTTATCAAAGAATGAACATGACTCATGGAAAGTAACATCAGCACTAGTAAAATATCAACGAAGGGTTGGACAATAACAACGATAACCTTTTTGGACTCGTGAGTACCCTAGAAAGACACACTTGATGACACGTGGATCAAGTTTGTTATGTCATGGACGATGATCATGGACATAACATACACAACCAAAGCTCTTAGGAGGCAGAGGAAAGGGAGTGCCTTTGTGAAATAGAAGAGAAAATAGTATTTTTCCAGAAAGAACAAAGGATGGCATGCAGTTGATTAGGTAATTTTCTGTGAGGACCGCGTCAGCCCGGAAAGGTTGGGGCACATTATAATGAATCATCATAGTGCGAGCAACATCAAACAGATGACGATTTTTACGTTCAGCAATGCCATTCTGTTGGGGTGTGTACGGACATCAGGCCTACCCAGCGCCGGTCATCAGGCCTACCCAGCGCCGGTCTTGTGTTGTACGCAGCGATTATACCGAAAATTGGGGGACCCGTCGCCGGGTAAGCTACTGGATAGCGACTGGGTTTGCGCAAATGGATGGGGCGGTGCCGGCCATCAGGCCTACCCGGCGCCGGGTATGCCCAAATTTGCATTTCTCCGCTTTTTTCTTCGTTTGACGTCGGTTGTTGACCCCGAAGAGTCAGTTCTTGGTGTCTTTTCCCGTTGACTCGTGTTTCTTCATTTTTTACGCCTAGGTGCGGTTTTGCTCAAATTGGGATTTTACCTGTTTTATCTTTGAGTGTTTGTACAGATAATCATAGTTACCTATATAAAATATAGGTGATTATTGTGTTTATCATTGTACAAGGCTTTTTGTCATGGATCAACTGTGACCTTGTACAAGGGTTTTGTTGTTATAGATTTAGGCTTTTTGTTATGAAGGGTATATTGTGACCTTGTACAACGGTGTTTTGTCATGGATTTATGAATACACTTTAGATGTTATCCATTTTATTAGTTTGTAGTATAAGGTACTACCTCACGTGAACAACTCCATCTGTCTGAAATTGCAGAAGAGTAGTTATTTTGGTTATATAATATTTCAATTGGTGCATTAAGAACATACATCATTGTCATTTATGTGGTGCATTAATAAGAACCATACATCAATAACAAACATATTAATAATACATCATTGTGGCCAGTTTCTTCATAATCAAAATATGAAATGATTGTCATTAAAACATCATCATACACCATACTGAAAAACAACCAGTAGGATGCCATTACAACAACATGAATTCAACTAGACATGATAATAACAAAATTACAAGATAAAACGACACACGGTAGGATATATCCTACATTGCACTACAGTCCATGAACCGAGTAGCATCATTCCTCCCACAACACACCATAAGACAGTCCACTTCTTCTTTTTGGGCATTGCATTTTTCTCCTCAGATTCAACTTGCAGCTTTTTGATTTTCCTCAGCAGACCTGGTATAATCATCTTCGACCTTGGACACATTTCTGTATCAATCCATTCAAACATTTTGCATCCTCCATTACCATATCATTAACAAACACATAAGGACTCCTATTATTAAGAAAATTTAAAACATATGACATACTACATCACATTATCAACATATGGCTCAAATGCAATATATATGTGTACATATATTCATTCAAACTAGTGAAAATGTTAAATCAGCCTGATTCACACAAATAAAATTAAATAGGTTACAACAAACTTAAAGGTCATACCTGTAATGTTGAGCAGGTAATGAATCCTCTCCCACAATTATCATCTGTTCATGGAGTCAGCATCTTCAAGGGGATTCCACAAGCACAAATTCCATGAGCCATGTTCGTAGCTCTCAAAACAAAATTCTGAAAAAAGGCACCAAAAAATTTACTGAGGAAGTGGAATGTAAATTCAGCCCATAACATACACACTAAAAAACAATCTAGGGTTTGTCATTAAAAAACAAAAAAAAATCAATAACCATTCGAAGACAACACAAAGTAGGAAAGAAGAGATAGACGGAGAGAGGGTTACGCAGACCTCGGTTGGGGATGACATACGCAGACCTGAAGATGAAATTAGGGTTACATATATGAAAGGGTTGGGTAATTGTTGAGTTGGAGTCCAGCGTTTAAAAAAACAGCTCTATAGCCACATCAACATCTTTTAACGGCATGTGCGGGAGTATACTCATTTAACACTGAAAAACCTATTTTGTGTACTTCCTGGTTTCAGT